TTAAATGCGTTATATTTTGAAATCTGAATGTGTAACGACTGGTTCCAGTAACTGTAACAATTGACCCCGCATATGGGGCCGGTTGTTACAAGTTGGATCACTTTACATTTTCCATTAATACAACCAAATTAGTTATATTATTAAATTATAAAAATAATTTCTATGTTATTGAAACATGTGGCTATTGAAAAATATCTTTGCGGTATTTATTTCATTTATTAGTTACATGTAAAAAATTCATTTTAAAAAAATGTATCAACCAGCTCCGGTCTCCCCTACATTTGGATTCGGTAAGTTTACTCGCTATTTTGATTCGAGTGCATTTCAAGTGAATTATATATCGGAGGTTAATTATTGCAATTATCCATTTACTCAAAGATCGCCTTCAAAGATTCAGATGTCTTACTAACAAAAAGCAGAATATTAAAAATATAAAAAGTGGATAAATTTATATTAACGTACATTTAATTCTCTAATATTTATTTCGGATTATCAAAAAAATGACAACAATAAAAATTTATCTGAAGGATAAATGATTCATTTAATGTTTTATTTTCATTAAAAATATACGAATTTCGAATTGTAATAGCGGAAATTTAAAGTTGTTCTTTATTTCACGTCTCGTATATGAAAATTTTATACATTTGAAAGTAACAAGTTTATTAGGTATGTGTCAAGCTGTCCCTGCAGAATACTTTAATATTAGTTTGGAAAGTTGCTAATAGAATGACAACTTTTACCATGTAACATGATAAAAGTGTCACCGTCAATTTGTCTCTATGCCAATATCATATTCGATCGTCTCTTTTTTATTCTCGAAAATTTATTGAAGAACACCTGTGCGTGAAAAGTCAAATCAGTAAAGTCAAAATAATCAAAATTTTACAATTGCATTTATTTTATTGTCGCGACACAGTCTGTGGATTACATAAATTTTATTGAAATTTTTATGAAAGTTCCAATAAAAACAATTTAATAAATAAATTTTTTAATTGCTTAAATAAAGGTTATTTTTTTCTCAAAATAAAATTAATAATATTTTGAAATGATAACAATTATTGAATATTAATAATTATTGTAGAACTTTAATTGAGTAAGAAGAAACTCTGGCAAAGAGCTGTGTTTTTTATTCTACATATAGCTCGATCGGCACACGAACTTAGCCATTTTCTGAATAGGAAAATTGTAAAGGCGTAAAGCTTGAAAGCTTGAAAGCTCAATACATATACACATGTGTAATGTGTCTGGACAACAATGGCATCAGAACGCATAAAGACGGCGATCTGCCACCGGCCTCGTTTATCACGCGAATAAACTTGCCGTATTAAAGTAATAATGGCAGTTGTCGCCAGTTACCGTATTATGATTGCGACGGCTAAGTGGAGCGATCGCCAGTCCGATCACTCGTCCGTCGACCAACTCGAAACGATTGTCTCGTCCGAATGCGCGACTTCGCTTAACGATGGCCGTCCCATTAGTGGGGTCGTCGTGTATAGCTCATTCAACAACCCCGGCGAGTTCGTGTCGCGCGCGCCCGCGCGCGCGCGCATGATCGTAATTTATTCGCCGTGATTTCGACAAACCGTTCCGGGTCGTCGCGGCAGCACAAAGCCACTTTTGTCGCGGCCGTCGCGTCTCGCGTTCGCAGTCTATTCCCCGTGTTCATCCCGCTAACGACTCGTTTTATAAGCGTAATAAGCGATAAGCTCCGTCTACCGATTTGCACCGCGTCGGGCGACCTCGCGTTCGCCCGACGCCGATTACTGCGACGTGACACGCGAGCGCGAGATTTTCGAGGCTCCTATACCACCGTGGTTTTTCTTATTACTGGAACTAGTTAATGCTCCTTCTCTTTATCGCGCGACGTTGGCCTGTAAAGATAGCGGGCCAAACTGCCGTATCGTACTTTTAATGAGCAACAATCGCGTTTACTTTAACCCTTAATCGCTGCGGCGAGACTGCATCAATTTGCGCGGTCTGAATTTAACACAGTGAATTAAAACACAGATCGCATGTATATACACGGAAAGAACAATTTTGCTGAATCCAGATCTCAAAATAATTTTTGTTCAAATAATCAAAATAATTTTGTGCGAAAGTCAAAATGATTGCTTATATATCAAAACGTTTTATAGCAACGCTTATCAATTTGAACATTCCAATAAATCACTTTCAAATCTGTTTTCAGCAAAATTTGTAGACCTTTCAATAAAATCGTTCTTTCCGTGTGTACATATATATATATATATATATATATATATATATATATGCATATATATAGGTAGATATATAGGTAGATATATATTATAGGTAATTCGCGGGACAGCGAAATAAATGTATTGAATTCTGTTAACTCTGTTAAACTATGAAATAACATTGTTCCCCTATCCCTGTATGTTTTTAATATTTTTCGTACGTTCCACATTTTGCACTTTATCGTACCACAAAATTGTATTCCGATCCGATAACTTTTCACTCTGACAGTTGTCTGTTTATAAATGATTTGGTATTTTGCGCTTTCAGGATTTGCTGTCGAGCTTCGACCATCATTTATCCGCCGATAGGAAGTATCTATTGCTCGCTCTCAACTACCAGAAGGTGAGTTTTGCCTTTAAATTGTTGACAAAACCACCGAGATATTATTAAAGACCGACAATCTTACGGGAGTTAGCGTTAGAGTTAGCTGCTCAGCAATTGCTAAAATTTAAGCAATCATATTATATTAATTTTATGATTTATTTTTAGACCAATGTTTTTTTAGACATGAACATATATTTACAACTTGCTAATAGTCAATTTTATTTAAAACTGCATTTTCATAGTTACCGTTCGTGTTTGATTATCCATAAAGATGGTAACAGTAGAAAAAAAATTGTAATTTTGCGGCAATATGTATGATATTGTAGCATTATAAATATTCGTACTTATTTATATTGCATTTATATAATAAAAAATCATGATTTTATGTATTTTTCAACCATGATTAATGTATTTTTCAAATATTTATATGTTAACAATCGCAAATTTAATATATAGTCAATAACATCGCAACACACTCTGCAATTATAATACCTTCGGGTCCTTTGATGATCACGAAAATTTGCCCAGGATTGACGATCTTTAATAGTATCTCGTCGGTGACGAAACGAAAATAAATGGAATGCGTGCGCGCGCGTACGTGCGGTATCGTCGTTGCTTTAATAGCCAAGTGAAGAAAACATGTAGTCGGGCGATAAGAAACGTTCGCGCCGATTAGCCGTGAAATATTACTTAATTAAAATTACCGCGAATCTTTGATGGCGCGATAATTACTATGCTGACGACGCAGCTTTCCTCGAAAACATATGCATGCAAATGAGGATTACAGCAGCGCAATGTAATTGTCCCCGACTCAACCTTACGAATAGGCAATTTCTGACTTTGCATGTCTGATGCCCAGGTAATAAACTCAACGATAGACTATGAGCTTTAATATTAACGTTAACGAAGGGACGCTTTTTCGCCGTAATAACCATTCTCCCTTTGCAAGTAAATTGCAAGTTAATTGATGTCTCGGTTCAACAAGTGTCTGAAATTCATTGTCCGCGAGACTACACTTCCTTTCTTTGACTATTTCAAAACGTATTTCGAAAACTTCTTATGCACCAATTAACTCTTTTCGCGAATCAAATAAGCCTTAATTTCAATGTTGCTAATTTTGTGCGTTTAATGAGAAATATATACTTCACTTACGTTTATAGCATGAAGCAGAAGTTAGTCTTGTAATTTATCTACTTACATTTTTCAATTTTATCAAGAATAATAATCGGGCATTAAGAATCTAAAAATGCGGAACTTAGTACGTAAAACAATTTAATCTTCATATGCAGTTATATCTTTTTAAATTGAAGAAGAACATTTTACATGTTATATGTCAATTATGAACTCACGCTGGTTGTGAAAATTTGTCAATCATATTTTAGTATTTACAATATTTTTAATATTGAGGAATAAATATTCGCTGATATTTAGATAATAATGCTCCAATTTAAAGTGATACATAGATTATCGTTATTGTGTTACAATTAAGGCCTTAAATATCAAATCGTATTTCCATAATGATCAATTTTATAGTCACAAACATATTCTGTAGAATATAAAATTGAAAATTAACATATAATATGGAAGGTTTTTTAATTTAAAAAACAAACTCAAATATAATAATCGGGCATTAAGAGTCTAAAAACGCGGAACTTGATGCGTAAAACAATTTAATCTTCATGTGTAGTTACATCTTTATACAATCTTTCGTTAGTTGTTACGTACGTTTCAGCCTTCTTCAGGCTTTTTTCAGCGTTAAATAATAACAATATTAATCCATGTCGATAAATTATTCCGTTAATCAACGTCAATATAGTCCATAGCGTGGAAAAATTTAAACTTTAAAACATTGTAAATGTTACGAATAATATTTTTCTCGCTGTATACAAAATTTCAAAAATTTAATACGATTGTTCAATTTTATAACATTTTTTCGGTCCAAAGTTTTATTTATTTCAGCGGAATAACTCCAAAGGTCAGTACAATAAAGTTAAAAAAAATGAATATTAAAGTGTGAATTGACGTATTTTCGCAGCCTACAGCGTAAACTCAAAGTTAACATTAAGACTTTTCAATTTAAAAAGATGAAACATGAAGATTAAATTGTTTTACGCACGAAGGTCCGCGTTTTTAGACCCTTAATGCTCGATTATTATCCTTGATGAAATTGAAAAATATAAGTAGATGTTACAAGAGTAACTTCTGCTTCGTGCTATAAACGTAAATGAGTTTTCGAGAGAGCGCGAATATATATAAGTAACTGCATAGTGAGGTAATCACGGAAGCAAGGTAGACCATCCGGAAGTTAATCGTATTGCCGAACGGAATGACTGCGATAAATATTTCGCTCTCTCTCTCCTCGTCGCTCCCTCTTCGTTCTCTGTCACTCGGCGAACCCGTTCGTCAGGTGGTCTGACTGCACGCCGGTAAGGAAACCGCTTAAACTTCCAAAGACTAGTAATTATAAGGAGCCCGCGGAGCGCGCCGAGATCTCTGAAACCGGGTGCGCGCCCACATTCCGAGCGAATGCATTCGGATAAGCCCGCGAATGAATTAAGGTCGGGCCCGCGCGGTAGTCAAAGTGGTGCGAAGTTCGTATAATCCGACGGTACGCAGGATTCGTTTAAAATAATACGTCTCGAGCATTATCAGCACGCACGTATATTCCACTTGCAATAAAATTCCATACTCCACTTCAAACAGAATCTTATACGGAAAGAACGACTTTGTTGAAAGGTCTAAAAATTTTGCGGAATACAGATTTGAAAATAATTTTTGTTTAATAGTCAAAATAATTTGTTGGAAAGTTAAAAATAATAGGCATTGCTATAAAATGTTTTGATATTCTAGCAATTATTTTGACTTTTGCACAAAATTATTTTGATTATTGAACAAAAATTATATTTTGACCTGGAGCAAAATTGTTCTCTCCGTGTATCTTTCAACGTCGCTTTTCTGAGTACACATTTGAATACGCGATTAATTATCTTGAAGAAAATGTAAGAATCATTTTTCTTGCGGAGCTAAAGAATGTCACCAAACTTATGAACAGTGCATGCACTGGATGCAGTAAATTTAAAAATTCTGTCAAATATCTGTCAGATAAAGCTTGTAATACATGTTATGTTAAACCTGGACATTAATACATAAAACAGTCCGCATCGCATGTCTACGTTGCATTTCAAGACTAAGCTGCTAATTTGTTGTCACCGATGGCTGCATAGGATTTATTTATGCGTTTTTCAGGGATTTGCCTTAAAATTTGCGCGTTCCACCAGCGACCTGGCAATTTACTTTGGTATTCAGGTCGCATTTTAAGTCTGCGTGTTTCGCGTGAGGATCGCGGTTATAACAAAATGTGCGCGGGAAATTTATTTTATAGAAAAAACAATCTCGCTTTTTGCATGATAAATAACGTTAATCTCCGTACTTGTCGTCCCCCCCCCCTCTCTCTCTCTCTCTTTATATATATATATATATATAAAATAACACGAAATCTTTTACTCTCAGGTCTCTTTAAAACGTTGCTTTAAATGGCATATCAACCGTCTCGACTACCGCAATAATGTCGCGGTTAATGTACAAAAAAATGGAGGGAGAAACGTACTAAAACACAAACTCAAACTCTACGCACGAGCGGCGTAGAGTTTTCTTTTTTTTTCCCGCGGGGCAAAATGCGCATTTTAATTTTCGTCCATTCGCCCGGCCAACTCCATCGCGTGGATTAGTGTCGTCTCGCGCAGTTGCGGCCGAGTTAATTCGACGCGCGATCATGCGAGCGGCGTACGAAGGAAGGAGAAATAGAGACGGGATTTTAAACCACACGAGCGCCATAGCGAACTAAACACCATATAATACCCGATGGCGGCGGCCGCGCGGGATTTTACGATTGTACGCGATGTGATCCTTGTCTCCTCTGCCCTTCGTCGTCCCTCGCCGGTCGCTCGCTGCATGCGTTCTGCAGGACCTCCGCGGGGAACCACCGCGCCGCGTCCTGAACGCCACCGCCCATGACCGACCCAACAACCGTCCATCGTGCACGCCGGTCGGTCCAATTGCATACATTACCGCTACCATATCTCCCTCTCGTCCCCTCTCGCCCTCCACCCCCCCCCTCCCACAACGCTCCCTCGCCTCGCTGTCCTTTCATCCGCTCCTTTGTATGTGCGCCGACGTGCGCGCGTACGCGTATGCGTGTACAGCCTCCGCATCCCACGCCAACGGTCCACGGCAGCCGCTGTTACCGGCGCGACGCGAAATCCTGAGTTATGTCCCGGACGGACCATCTGGATCTCTCCGAAGAGGGACCGGCGCGCTATCCGCCCGGCGAGCGCGCGCGAGTAGTCGGTAATCGCCCCTTGAGAAATCGCCGGTTTACCCAGTTATACCGATCCGCCGATGTTCTCCATGGCGCAGCGCGCTGGAACCTTGCGGATTAGACACGCGCACGGTGAATTAGAATGAGGATTGTTCATGCGGTGTATTTAGCTCGATAGAGAAGTAGAATTGAGAAGAAGCAAATCTCTCGAATATCAATACGATTTTTGTGATACGCAGAATAGTTCAGGTGCATGAAATTAGGTGTGTGAAATACAAATGTATACACGGAAAGAACAATTTTGCTGAATCCAGATCTGAAAATAATTTTTGTTCAATAATCAAAATAATTTTGTGCGAAAGTCAAAATGATTGCTATAGAATATCGAAACGTTTTATAGCAATATGCTTATCAGTTTTAACATTCCAACAAATTATTTTGATGATTTAATAAAAAATTATTTTCAGATCTGTTTTCAGCAAAATTTTTAAACCTTTCAACAAAATCGTTCTTTCCGTGTACACGGAAAGAACAATTTTGCTGAATCCAGATCTGAAAATAATTTTTGTTCAATAATCAAAATAATTTTGTGCGAAAGTCAAAATGATTGCTATAGAATATCAAAACGTTTTATAGCAATATGCTTATCAGTTTTAACATTCCAACAAATTATTTTGATGATTCAATAAAAAATTATTTTTAGATCTGTTTTTAGCAAAATTTTTAGATCTTTCAACAAAATCGTTCTTTTCGTATATTTTATAATTCGAAAAGAAGAAGGGATATTGGGCTAAAAGGTAGGTCAGAGAAAATCGTTGTTTTCTCGAGCTGCGGTTGCGCTTTTAGTCACTCCGTATAGCGAATACTTA